TATACTATATTGATAGGTTGTGGCCCATAGACATCTACATTTATCGTCAATTAAGAATCAAAATGCAGATGCGTTGTCACCCCTGAGTTTTAAAATTGAATGCATCGTTTACAGTAAAATGGTCTCCGGTTCTCGACACTGACCATACGAAACACAGCAGCATTAAGCTACTATTTCACGTTGGTATTCTGTGAGAGCTTGGTCCTAATTCGGCCGAACCATTCGTGCTCCAACCATAATATAGCTACAGCGTGACTACCACGTAACGTACCCGAAAATAATAATCGAAAATTGACTACAAATATTGGCAATAAACAAAAAATTATGTTTACTGTCCCCGGAAATCAAGTGCAATATCACAATTTAATTGTGGAAAACACTGGCCACTGAATCATGTGTTCGTAAACAGTATTGAACACATAAAGTAAAGCAAGAAAGAATATTTTTCGCTTGTTTCAATATCGTTATTAAAATACACTACCCTTTGTAAATACCCCAGATTGTATGGTTAAAGTCTTCATTTCTATTTCCGACGGTTTGGGTACTTAATGGGACACTTGGGGCTGTATCGCCAAGATTTTAGGCATCACTGAAAATCAGCGTTGTGGTATCACCACAAACACATGTTAAGTGATGTCCTTTTTTGGCATGCCTTTGCCGTACAAAGTCGATTTTATTTAAAATCTACTTATATTTAACTTATAATTTCTGTCGGTCTGTCAGAATATAGATTCTTTCTTTCTTTTTCTTTGTAATTGCTGGTTATGATTACAAACTTAAAAATGACCACATAGTCCACCTGAAAGTTAGTGAATGCTGTGTGGTCCATAGGCACCTAGATCTTCATTTAAGAATCAAAATGCAGATGCGTTTTCAATTCTGAGGGCTAGAATCTAAATAACAAGAACTCCGGTTTTCATCACTCATACAAAAAATAGCTGCTATTTTGCGCAGGCACTCTGTGAGGGCATGACGCTTTCCCGCTCTAGTCGCCCCATTAGTGCAGCATCCAAAAAAATTACGTTTGTTACGTGATAGAGCGAGAGAGAGAGAGAGAGAGAGAGAGAACACAACGCTGCAGCTATATTGCGGTTATAGCATGAATGGATCGACTCGACCCGGGAAGAACAACATCCTCGTATAATACCAGCGTAAAATAACTTATTGCTGCTTTGTTTCAGATGGTGAGTATATGGAAGAAGAGATTCTTTTACTGGAAACGAGGCATCTCATCTTACTCCTCAGGGGTGACAACGCACCTGCATTTTGATTCATAATCAAGGATAGATGTGGATGTCTATGGGCCACAACATGCACTTAACATTTTCTTAAAGATATGGTGACAAACGAGCACACACTCCACCTGATAAGAATAAGATGGTAAGTGGTTGCTGTGACCCATAGACATCTATATCTATCTTCAATAAAGAATCAAAATGCAGATGCGTTGTCACCCGTGAGGACTAATATGGAATGGCTCTTTTCCGGTAAAAAGGGTCTCCGGTTCTCTACACTCACCATTCCAAACACAGCAGCGTTAAGCTGCTATTTTACGCTGGTATTCTGTGAGAGAGTGGTTCTTCCCGGTCGAGCCGAACCATTCGTGCTACAACTATACTACTAATATAGCTACACTGACTCTACCACGTATAAGCATCAGGTGGACTGCATGCTTGTTTGTCACTCTTACTCTTTTAAAAAAAATTGCGGCAGTTAAATTTGGCGGAATAATATCATTATAAATACCCAACCCGGTGACGTACTTGCGTACTGCAGCGCTAAAGAGGCAAGCTGCGATCGTCAAACAACCTGCTATTTATTGCAGATTAATTATTATAGCTAGATTATTTAAAGACCCTTTTCCCTGCAAACGAAGCGTTTCATCTTTGACATCAGGGTTGACAACGCATCTCCATTTTGATTCTTAATTGATGAGTGTATGTGAGCCACAGCATTCGCTAACCCTGATGGACTTTGTGCGACGACGAGTTCTTCTGTCTGTGTGTACGTGGTTTTTTTTGTTTAAAAAAATACTAGTAATGCTATTAAGCATTACTAATTCTCTCTCTAACCACTTCTCGTAAGCTTAAAATGCTTGTGTTGGAAGTGGTTCATGACAGTAGTCGCATGGCGGATTCGAACCCACGACCTTTCGAGTTCGCGGTCCGCGCCCTGCCATTAGGCTACTGACGCTTAAACTGACGGTTTAACTCCTAAACAACTGGACCGATTTTGATGAATGAAATTTTGCGTGCTTGACTACGTTGATTCGAGAATGGTTTAGATTCACAATTGGACCCGGTACGTGGCGCTGTTGTCGAGATCCAGAAACCACCCATGCGAAGCCGAGGCCGAACACTAGTACTTTTTTATAGAAGAATCCGTCTAAGGGGTAAGACAATCCATCCATCAGCCTTGGTCCATCAGGTTGTATCATCATGTAAATACCAGTTGTTAAATACCCCGATTAACGACAGTAACAGTGACCACGACGGCTCCGTGGCGCAATGGCTTAGCAATGAATCACAGCGCTGGGGGTCGCAGGTTTGAATCCCGGACGGAACAAGTATTTGTATGGCCTACAAATAATTGTTCTGGGTCTGGATGTGTTTGTCCTTGTGCAATTTATGTCAGTAAACTGCCTCCACGATATAGGAGAAAATTCTAGTGTAGAGGTAACGTTTTTCACAAAAAGAAAAAGTGAAAAAAGTAAGCAACGCCAAAGTCGCAAGACATCTGGTGGTACCGAATAGCAATAAGCCTGTCAAATTTAGCGATTTCAAGAAATTCTTCTTACAATGAGAGATACCCATGTCCAAAACTAGTCTGTTAACGGGCCGATGAAAAAAAGAAGTGGTAAAATTAAAAAATTTGTACAACCGACTTCAATATAAGTTTATAAGGATAACTAAAAAACTACTGGTCAGACCATAATATAAAATAAACATAATAAAAAAATAAAAAAGTTTAATTTATATAGAACTACATGAGAAGCACCAGTTTTCAAATAAAAACGAAAAAGAATCATTAAGATCGGTTAACTTATAAAAAAGTTATGAGGTTAAATAAAGGGATGATATTAACACTCATAACAAAAACACACGAATTGAGTACCTCCTCCTTTTTGAATTCGGTTAAAGAGAAGATGCCGTAAAATTTGTGATAAGAAATGTCACCAAAATTCATAATGTCTAATAAGTATTCTAAGTTGACTGAACTCGAATTACAATACGAGATGAGATAAATTCTTTGTTTCCCTGTAAACAACGCAAAATGAAATCTCAATTTGAATTCTACGAGGGCGGCACTGAAAATTTCGGGAATCAAAGAAGTGACACAACATTACTATTTAAAAATGTATTTATTGCTTTTCGAAGTATTCTCCGCGAAATTTGATACTTTTTTCCATACGATGGAACCAATCATTGAAGCAACCATTCCATTCGGAAGTTGGGGTCTCCAAATGGCCGTTTTGTAGGCGTCCACATCTTCTTCAGGTGATGAAAATCTCTGTCCACGCAATTTATTCTTTATTTTAGGGAAATTATAGAAATCATTAGGGCTTAGGTCGGGGCTGTACGGCGGATGGTCTAATAATTCTATGTTTTCTTGCTCTAAAAACTCTTTTGTTCTGTGTGCGGTGTGAGAACTCGCATTGTCGTGATGGAGGATTATGCGGCGGTTGCAGTTCTCTTTACGGAGTTCAGAAACGACCTGTGGCAAACAAATGCTAGCATACCATTCTGCATTAACCGTTCTTTGTCCCTCAAGAGGAATAGTCGTAACATGGCCGGTTTTGGAGACAAACGTGGCCACCATTTTTTTTTTGCAACACTCCGTGAACGAACAATTTTTGTTGGCTTTAATTCATTTTCGAACACCCAAACTCGTGACTGGTTTTTTGTTTCGAGTTTTTACTCGTATATCCAGGATTCGTCACCTGATACGATGTTGTATACAGCATTTGAGGATCCTGCGTGGAATCTTTCGAGAGTTCTGAAGCACCAAGTAACGCGAGCCGCTTTTTGCTCTTCACAGAGCGAATGCGGTATCCTCCGGGAAAACAACTTTTTTATACCTAATTGTTCATGCAAGATTATTTGTATTTGACTCATGCCAATGTCTAAAGTTGCCTGAATTTCGTGGTATGTCACATGTCGATCTTCCTCAATCAGCTTACGCACAACATCAACGTTTTCTTGGGTGACTGCAGTTTTTGGACGACCTTGACGGGGATCATCACTGAGCTTGATACGTCCACGTTGAAATTCAGCAAACCAGCGATAAATTGTGGTTTTGGATGGGGCTTCATCACCAAATGCAGAAATCATCCGGTGAACACACTGTTTTTGTGTTAAACCACTTCGAAAGTAGTACATTATATCTCAATGTTCGAAAGTCATAATAAATCATCGCTCTTGAATTTTCTCGAGTCAATTCCATTTTCTCAACGACTAAACAAGTTTGACAAAACCTTGTGACAAGACTTGAGAGTTGAGACTGTGAGAATCTTTTTTGAAATAAATAAATGGTATTCGATTTTTAAAACCAAGGAGTTTTCAATTAAAAAGATTTTAATATGACAGGAACAGTGGAAATATTCCATTCCCGATACTTTTAGTGCAGCCTAGTAAATGCAGCTCGTAGAACCCGCCCGATTAATAAAAATCGTGGAGCTCTGACATCATTACCTCACCTCTAAAGCCTTAGCGATTTGCCATAGTTGCCACGCTTGGCAGGCGTGTTGGCAACCGAAACTTTTCATTTTTTTTAGTTGTAATTAATTACCTTACGTGCAGTAGAAATTATCAAGAGAAATAGAATAAAATAAAATAAATAATTAAAAGTGTTACCTACATTATTTGTTTTTGTTTATTATTCCTAGTCCCTGCCTAATAACATGGACAAAACTTATTTACATCTACTCACGCAGGCATTCTCTACCAGTTGAAATAAATGTACATGAAAATAACTTAATGTGATCAAGCAGCCGTCCGTACCTGTCATGATGCAGCAACGCCGGTGAGACTTTCTTCCGGAGGTTCGCTAAAGCGGCAAGTTCTTCGCGTTTTCGCGATGGTGGCGGCGCGCCGCACAGCGTCAACAGTGGCGTCGGGGGCTGAGAGGCTTGCAGCAATCTGGAAACGAAACTCACTTCACCATTTTGCAAAATAAGCACCTAGATATCTATATCTAGCAGCGTCTTGGAGGCCACAGTCATTATTGAAAATATTATAATGTTCTAGCGACCCGCCCCGGCTTTGCAACGGTGATTTGTGGGTCCAGACAACAGCGCCACCTACCGGGTCCAATTATGGATCTAAGCTACCGAAGTACCTCCTCAAAGATACAAAAAAAATCATTAAAATCAGTCCAGCCGTTTAGGAGGAATTCAGTGTCAAACACACGTACAGAATAATTAATATGTAATGATGATTTATACAGAGAACTTTGAAAAAACCTATTCCTTCCTCAAATCTATCAGAAAGGTGTATGCTCTTTTCTTGAAGATCCCTAAGTCGTATCTGTCCTGAAAAATCGCCGGTGGTAAACAATTCCACATAGAAGTTGTACGAGGAAGAAAACTCCTAGTAAAACGTACAGTCGTGGACCGCCAAGCATCCAAATGGTGAGGATGGTATCGTGAATTTTGACGCGATGTGCGTTCGTGAAATTTGGCGGCTGGAATTAATCCGAACATATCCTCAGAGCACTCCCCGTGGTAAATTCGATAGAAAATGCAAAGGATGCAACATCCCTGCATGCAGTGCCAGTGTATCGAGCCGATCAGAAAGAACTCGGTCGTCAACAATTCGAACCGCTCGGCGTTGGATGCTGTCAAGTGGAAGGAGCTGGCACTGGGGTGTCCCGGCCGAGAGATGAAAACAGTATTCCATGTGAGGCCAAAGCTCAAATTCGCGCTTTGTAAAGTTGCAATGCTATGTGCCGGCAATAAATACTGTCTCGCTCTGCTGAGCACGCCAAGCTTTCTAGAGGTCAATTTGGCCTTCCCTTCCAAGTGACCAGGAAACTGCACATTATTCGATATGTCGACGCCGAGAATTCCGATGCTAGCTGAGGCAGCAAGGGGAGTGCCTTGAAACTGAGGAGATATGACAAAGGGGTTCTTTTTAGCGGTAAACGCGCAAACTTGTGTTATCTGGGGATTGAAGTGGACTAGATTTAGTCGCCCCCAATCCGAGGCTTTGTTCAGTAAAGACTCGACTTCAGACACAAGTATGTCCCGGTACTCGACGAAGTTTTCCCGAGAAATATTGGTACGGCCGGTATATAAGGCATCACCAGTGCTGTCGTCTGCATAGCAATGAATGTTACCAGTTTGCAACATATCATTGATATGCAGGAGAAACAGCGTTGGTGATAGCAGGCCGCCTTGTGGAACACCAGCGTTGATAGGCTTGAAATCAGAGCATGCACCGTCTACTACGACCTTGATGCTCCGATCAGCAAGGAAACTGGCTGTAGTGTATGTGCCTCCACCCTACTAGTAATATAAGAAATACATGTACTTTTAAGTTTATTGATCAGTATAATTAAAGTCTTCAACTGGGAACCACGTCTTCTATTTATTCAACACCTTTTCCGACATTACATGGGTACCCTGCCAGGCGGTGCGCTGCTATAATGCACGCGCACCGCCGCGGCCTACATAATAATTAAAATTGCAATATAATTCAATTATTGAAATTTTCTCAAATTGACACAATTATATACCCTGACTACACGGAATATATATCCGGATGTGATGAAAAATTAATAAATAATTATACAAGAAGAGGCCACAATAATAATAGACTGAAAAAATTAAAAACTATAACGTACGAGTATATGAAGTAATATAATATATTTATCTTTAATATAACTATGAAGGCAACTAAGAAAGAATGATGAGAATAAAAAGTGATTTCTTGAAAGACCAAATTCAAGAAACGGCAAATGAATTTAATATGGAAAGGAGCAGTTGTAGTTTAGCAAGCTTTGTCCAGTAAGATATGAAAATTAAACCGAAAAGAAAAAAGAAGATATAAGAGGTAACATCGCATCAGCGTAATTTTTAACATTTGATTTTAATTATTTTTTATTATGTTTTATATTAAATAAATAAGTAATGCATTAAATATTAAATGTACGGTATTTGCAAGTAACTTGAAAATATTTGTCATATTTAAAATTTTACAATATTTATAATATTTTAGTAGGTATTGTATTAAAAAAAATACAATATATTAAGTTACATTTTACAATGACAAGATCGATCGTATATATATGTAAATATATTTTTAAATTCAGCCCAATATTTTTCCGTGATTAATTTTATTTAAATGTAAGTATACAATTTTGAAAAGGGTTTTATAAAAAAATCGCTATTAATAAGTCATAATTATTTTTCTTCTTTTCTAAAGGCATGAAAACCTTAAAGTAACTATATAAATAAATAGATAACCTTTAATAAATGACCTTAAAGTTAATATAACCTGCTTAAAAATCAAAAATTGGAAATAACTTAATGTTTTGTTTAATATAAATTTAGCTGTAATAGTGATTACAAATTATTTTCTGTAGGTTATACGGTTTCTTAAATTTCTAGAAATCCTAAATTTTTATATGTAAATTAATATTTATATTTGTATATAAATATGTATTAATAAATGTATAACTAATGCTAATATATTTTTCGTTATAATTAAAAGTAATACCGATGCGATGTAATTATACTATAAACTTCTGTGTCAGAAAACATTTAAAAGTATCATTTTAATGTGATAAGGAAAATAATCATTAAAAGAGGTTTTAATAATAATGTTTCTTAACAAAGTTAAATATGGAGATGAAAAGTTGACATACGGAAAAAAGAAATACGGAATTATTAATGAAAAATATTAATATAGTGTAGTTGTGAGAATAAGGCAAGTAAAGAAAATTATCGGAGATTAGCATATCCACATACAATCGGCCTGATCAGCTGAGAGTTTGGAAAACCTAATAACCGAGTAATTTTTTTTAAGGTTGTTCGTATGCGATTAACGACGTAATGAGTTTTAATGACGCAATGAAAATATATTATGTATTGTATAGGAATAGTGTCCATATTCTTTATCATGTATGTATGTACGCGAGCCATGTACGTGAAAGTATATTATGGTACAATTAAATAATGATTAATAAAATACTATAAATGTAAAGAAATAAATAAAAATAAAACACGTTGACCTTGACGAACAAATAATGGAGAGATACGGGAACGTCCATTACTGGTATAGCATATAGTCCTCGAGCAGGGTATGTTTCCATGATTGGATGAAAAAATCGGAAGTATCGGGTACTAGGGAACAATACCTTCAGTACAAGTGAGATGTGAACAAATTTACTCATTTTAGTACTGTTGGGGACCAGAGAAGTCTTAAATTTGTTACCCTTGATAATGGTACATAGAGGTCACATCCTTCATTGGATCATAGTATGAACTTAGTTTTTTCCTCCGTGACAATTGTTGGAGTCCTTTTAAAATGACTTAAACGTAGACCTCAAGGTTGTGCGCACAACCCAAGGTACAGTTTTACCTTGATATAGTATGATAAAAAAAGTTTATGTACCAATAAAATGAAATGAATGTTATGAAAAAGTTATATAATACCCAAGTAAATGGGGGGCCCATATTTATTAAGTACCCGCGTGATAAATATCACGAAATAAAATATAAATGAAGTGAATTAATACTCCGATTCCCGGTATCTAATTAATAAATAAATAATAAGGAGAGAGAATACTAAAAGAAATAAAGCTAGCTAAAGTTCAAAATATAAGAAAGAAATAAAGTACGTACAAAAATTATAAAAAAAAAATAGGCCTGACAATCAAAAAGGAATGTAATGAGATGTGTTAGTATGAAATAATTAACATGCGGGGACATGAGAACAATTAAAATGAAGTAATAAGGGGGATCACCGCCCAAAGCAAAAAACAACCACACTTAAAAAAAATATGATAAATACGTTTTCGCTTAGATATATTATATACGAATTTGCAAAACTTTTTCATATTTTCAATAACTCTACCCTAAATTTCTCTTTTATGTTTTTTTTGTTAATGTTAAATTTGTACAATTTTATACCAAATTTTGTATATTAGTTACTAAAAACAAGTCGTAAGTGTATCTACTCTATTATTATAAGTTTCATAACATAATAGTTTTATTTTTTATTATGGACAACGAAACATAAAATTATGTATCTGCTTTTTAAAAAAAAAATTGTCTCGTCTAATGTTAATAAATATTTTATTTAAACAAACTTTAGGTGTGTAATATTGTATATTTTAAATTTCTGTCTCAATTAAGGTAAACATATTCCATAAAAGTCATAAAATAAAAAAGTGGTAATGTGTTTTCGACTATCAAAAATAACTTAAATAATGAATACTCGATAATTCATGTAAACCTATTATCATAATGAAATGTAACTACCTAAACTGTGTAAATTAAGAAAAAATGTTTAAAACAAATATTTAACTGTTAACTATTAGGAAAGGTAAATTATTTTATTCACGGTATCGTTTTATCGTATTATTGAAAGTAGGTACCATCATACGATGGAATCTCAAACGTTTCCATATACGTGTACTTTGGAATTTAAAACAAAGGTGTCATAAATCGCTTACGCAGCTGGGATCACAACATGTATTTTGATCTGTCTGTTGTTGTTAACGAAATTGATTAGGTACGTTGCTTTGCTACTGACTTCTTTGTTCTGGATATCTAAATATGAAATGTAATCAATTATTTTCGGTATAATATTGATTGAACTTTCAAATCATAAACTTTTATCTATTACAATTTATTATTTTCTGAGAAAATAGTAGAGTGATGCCAACTTAGTTGTGTGGATTATGAAAATAATTACTTTATTTAATACGATTTTGAAACTCATTATACTATGTTTGCAATTAATTAATTTAAATTTTGTTGTGACCAAAATATTGTGAGCCTCAATCCCTGACCGACAATGATATATGTACCTAAATATTATACGAGACTATATTATGATATAAATTTGCAATGCCTGTAAAATATAAAAAAAATATATATTTATTATATTGCCTAATTATGTCAAATATGTAT